CTTCATAAACTTCCGTGTCATAGATTGTCGACAATATCGCCATGGTCATACTGGAGGAAAGCGAATTTGGCCAGCAAGGATACCAGTTATGGTTTGAGATGTTTGTTTTCATCGACATGATTTGCTGCTTCCTAATAATATTCCCTATTATTTGGTGAGTTTTTCTCTGATTTTTTGAAAAATGAATGGAAATGATATTAAGCAGTCGGAAATTCAGGTCCATGCACCATTTGTCTGAAGGTGCGCGGAAGTGATGGTAAAGCTGCCTTCAACCTGGAAAAACTTCGCCTCTTCCGTCATTTCTACATGATCGTTATATCGTATGTGTATCTGACGAGGGTTATGAAACTGCTTCTGCAGGTGTGTTGGTAGCGCTATTGTCATTTATTGCTTTTTAACGCTTTATTTTAGTATGCGCTTCCATTTGATCAAGAGTGGGTTACTGATGCTGTCGTTGAACTGTCTACACTTGTCTTTTTCATTCTTGTTGGTATTCTTTTCCGCCCACAACCCGCAAATCCCTATCTGAAGCTGAACCAGGACATCGACGACTCGGAGGATATCTCGTAATTTTTTCAATTTTTTAAAATTTTCTATGGTTTAACGTAGTCTTGGCTTCGCGATTTCTGCATAGGAATCGACCTACAAGTTTCATCCCTCTTAATCCTCCTCTGATTGCACTTCTTGTAGCAATTTAGCTTTCATGTAGTACTGCAGTATGTTTCAAGTGCAAGCTCACCCTTTCGTTACCTATTCTTTCCAGAAAATGTTAGTGTGAACACCATTTCTATCGTTGTTGGGCTAGTAGCTATGCTGTCTATCGAAACCAGTCTTCATTTCCTCTCTCGATAAAAAGCGCGATTGGATATGAGAGAGAGACCTTCCCCAGGGAGTTGTTCCATGCTCAGCCAAATACGAGGTCCTCCTGTTAGCAATGTGCAAGCTAGGGAGCTAGCACAGGAACGGGAGTTAGCCACTGGTGTGATATAAGTCTTTTGATGCAGTAAAAGCTCTATTACTCTTTAAAGGCAAGTGACATCATGAATCCCCAGGACGAGACGTATAGGATTAATACGCCTAACAGAACAGAATTCTGTACGCCTAAACAGGCGCTGCGTAGCGCCTTTTCTAAGGAAGGTTCCCTTATAGCGCCCTATCAAGCTGCAACATACCGACCCGGACGCCCACCGCGCCCGCCCGCCCACAAATGTCCGACCGATGCTGATGCTCGTATCGCTTCATTTGCGAAGTACAATATGAAGCGAAGGGATTGATATGAAGCGGCTGCGGTGCTGCATGGATATATGAGTACATACATGCAGCCGTATCTACCGTAGCGGTTACTGGCATTATGCCAACAGGAAACCCGTCCAAAATCGCTGTCTGAGTCGTGCAGAACGGAGGCTTTTTGCGTGTTTTTGACCGCTTCACTTCGCTTTTCCGCCATCTCCCACCATATGGGCCCCCTCCTAGCATTTCAGACCGAGTACCAAATAATCTGGCCTTATGCTCTTGAGCATTTTTTTCCTAAATCCTCTTTTATCCCTGCTGTACGGGAAATCATCTTGACGTGGAAACATTTCTTCTTGGGAATTCGCTCTAGCTTGGTGTATGGTGGAGGTCGAGCTCCAGAGAAGCGTTTTGCTGGGTTCAAAGGCCGATTTTTTTTATAATGGCGGAGGCTTCTCTTTTTTCTGTTGGGCACATATTTTGCTTTTTTCAGGAAAGAAAAACAATGTGAGGGGGAAGGGGAGGGAAGGGCTCGCGGTGGCACGTCTAGCTAGTTCCTTTTCTTCCATGGCTGAGAACTGAGAGAGTACGTACGACCAAAGTCCGCGCGGCCTCGTATCGGAGTGCCAAGGAAAGGAATGTGTTGCACCGATGTGTGGCCTCTCAGCTGCAGTAGTGCTGTAAACGGATAGTTTTCTTTGCTGCGGATGTTAGGGCGTATCAAGGGAATGGATTTGGCGCGGCAGAGGCCCGTTTTCTCCTTATTTCTTTCGACAAGCGGCAATGCTGCATCATATCGTTGGTATCAGTGGTTTTTCTCCGGTCTTGTCGATTACCCAGTTCATTAACTGGTGGAGAATGGTGACGTGCTAAGCCCAGCCTCAGTGGCACCCCCCTTTACCCACAGAGAACAAGACTGTATAAGCTACAGTTCGAAGTGCAATGATTACTACTCTAGGAATTTACATTTTAGGCTGACGCAAAACGGTCTCTTGGAAGGAGTGGTGAATCGTGGATCATCGAATGCTCTGATCGCTCCGGACAACGGTAATACCGATCTGGACTGCCCGACCATTACAGTTGAGGATAACTCGAATGTGTCTCAAATTGGAAGACGCCGTGTAGATGGTTTTGAAAGAACGTTACTTTAAATTTCTCAAAGTTATCAACTGGTCGGTGTTTTCATAGTGATTACTTTTAAGAATGTGTGAGCGATTCGGTGGTTTTGTGCCGTTCCATGGGTAATTGTATTAGTTCTTTCTCACAGATAATAACTAGTGAAGATGCTGGTATGAAATCGCTTAACACTATTGATTTAGCGTTTGCAGAGGCCTTTTCAGCTGTTGTCGATCGCTTGGAGTGATCTGCTGAGTTATAGATATTATGTTTGTTCATACTCGTTGATAAGGAGGCTTTGCGCAAGCTGCTAGCAATTTTATGAAATAGTCGTTGTGTTTTATTCGCTGTAGGATTGGGATGGGTGAATCGATTTCTGTTTCTTTTTTGTGTTAACGAATGATACGCTCTGCGTTGTGTATATAGTGCGACCATTGTAATAAAGTATTACTGTAGTGTCTGTTCCTTTCAGTTATTGACTTGTAAAAGTTTTCAAAACTGATAATATTTTGCGATGACCGTGACTATTTGCATTTACAATTCGTTCTACTCATTGACCAGGTTTTTATCAGTCTTATCAGTGGCGACCTTCGAGCTTGCACTAAGACGGTGCTCCCCTCCTCGGTGAGCCTCGCCGTTGCCAACGTTGTAGACCGTGAACCGTGTTATCCACTGCTCCGACAAGTAATCGATGCAGGATTTATCATTCAATGAGGTAAGATCATGTTACTATTGCTGTCGTACACTTGTAAATCCTTGTGTCTGGTCTGGGTGTAGTTGAACGTTTTAAAACGTTGCTTTGCATGATTTAGAGGTGAAAATATTTCCAAATGATTTCAGTTTTTGCTATGAAAACTTATCTTTTTCTAGCCAACCGATGGAGAACGTAGCAGTGTCAGGTCGTCGGAAGAGGATGCAAGTGGATCTCCTGGAGGTGACGACCGTGAACGACTCCGATTATTGCAAAAGATAGAAATGGCACGCGAACGGTTGAAACGTACCAGTCTGGAAAGGGAACGTGAGTTTAGAAATGTGTTTGAATTTTGTTTTTTTTACACTATTTCCGAGATTTTGATAAAAATTCGTAGATAAGTCCACCAGGCGATAACGCGGGGCGCCGTTGCGATCGCACAGGAGCTGAAGCTGAAAGCGAGAGGAAGCGCAAATCTGAAACCAGTGGCTAAAAAAGGGACAGACTCCAGCACAAGAATGTATATCATCTCTCTCCCTTTGAATAAAGAATTCCTGGAATCGGGACCAATGGCCTCTCCATTCGCCTCTTGCGAGCGCTAGGAGGTAGGGGGACAGAGGGACAAGGCGATCGCAATTTGTCGCACGGGGCATGTTTTGGGGCAATGCGCAGTACAAATTTTTGATATTCGTCAGTCCATTGGAGTAGCAAAACCTATACGAATTTAGGCGCTGACAAGGCACTGACGGATGTTATAGAATTTTCCCGTTCTTACAACACTCATATTCAAAATAATGGGCTGTACAACTCGTCTGTTGGGCGCTCGCCACGCCCACTAGTGTAGCATATTACGATTGTTTTGTCAAGTACCCATTGAGCTAGGGAAATGTAGCGGATCCTCCTTGCTCGAGGAACATAAACCTCTTAATTTATTCCGTGCAAAGCTCTCATAGAGGAGACTAACCAACGAGACAGCGGTGTCCGTACTGGTGTTCGTTCGACGTCCCGTGGATCCAGTCGGTAATCGCTCTGGTCCAGCGCCCAACATCCAAACCGCGTTGACGAGTCCGGCTCACGTAATCTTCGATTTCGCGGCAACGTCACCGGTCTGCCGACCTTACACTCTTCTACTAATAAAAACAAATAGTAAGGGTTGGTTGGTCCAAGAACGATGCGGAATTCATAACCGAAGCGTGAGACGAGAAGCGGAGAGAACTCTGTAAGAAGAGCGCGTAATGGAAAAACCCAGTATTTAAGCTAGTTCGGCAGCCTTCAGTCTTCGCAATGACGCGCGTCGACGCGCTGTAGTGCGCTGTGAAGGCACATCGGCGTGCTATAGTTGCAACAGCGCTCCAGAACTGTAGACGCAACGCAGCCGCAGACGGGAGTAATCAGCGGGTCACTTTTTGTAAGAGTATAGAATAACAGGGGTGCAGGCACTGCTTTCAAAAACTTGGTAATCTTCAAAAACCCTTGCGACCACTGCCGATTGATGCCGGGCCTGTGGCTATTGTAGCGTGTCGGCACGCGTAACAGCGCGTGAAAGCGCGTCATTGCGAAGTCTACCCTCTATTTACGTGACAGTGATGACAGAGAAGTTGGTTTGAAGTGGCCTCAAAATTGCCTTGTGTGACGGTTCAATTCCAGGCGATGTGGAAGAATTTCTGATGATGACCCGGGGATCAGAAACTCAAAAAGGTGCTGACAACCCCCAGATGGCACGCCTGAAGCAACACTTTGAGAAGAAGAATAAGCGACACACTAATGAGCTCGAACAATTACAGGTTTGACAGCTCTGGGTAGGCATTTTTTGGTTTTCATGAGTTTCTTGTTTTTTCTTCAGAGGAAGCTTGCTAGTTACGAGCAGCGTTTGGCTGAAATTGAAAATGGCATAGAATCTGGAAGCCGAGCAACTGTTATGTCAACTGTAGGCCAAGGAATCAGGTATTGTAATATTGATTTCTACCGTGCCACGGTTTCAAAATCTGTCATTTCAATACGTACTTATAGGAGAACTGGTGCCAATATAAAGGGAATGACGGAAACTGTGATGGCGGCACCTCTAGAATTTGCTCAACGTCTTAAGAGTACCTTTGGATCTGCTGATAATGTGAACGACCCTAACGACGGTAAATTTATCAACTGATCTTGCCTTTCTGAAGTGCCGCTTTTTCCACTCATTTATTAGTTGAAAAACTTTTTTTTACCGTGCCCGTTATTTCTGGTAGGAAAAGGTTGAGAGGAGATCATCAGAAGTTTTTGTTACTTTTCAGCAACGAATTCTGATTTGCGAATAGGACAATCGAAATTTTATGCTAGCTCTGACTATGGAAGTCCTCACCAGGTGCTGACGAGCAGGTACTATTCCATTTTATGAGAATTCATTTGACCTGCTGTCGATCAATATTAAGGATCCCTTCAAGAAAATCGGATTCTCTCCCTGCAAACTCTTCTTTAGTGAAGTCATCGACTCCATTAAGGTCCCGCGATGGTGATACATCAGGAATGACGGATCCAATGTCAAAGATGGAATCTGAAGTGGTAAATACTCTATCTCAATAGTTGTTTCTGGCCCTGGTGTGCTGTGAGTAGGTGTGGAGCACTCTGTAAACCCCTGTCAACATTCCCGTTGGTTTTGTAATTCTGTAATTCCTTGTAAAGTCACGAAATGGTACGAGTTTCATTGGAAGTCCAGGACTGGGCGGTAATACGAAGGAGACAATTGCAGTATGTCGCGTCGCCGCGAGTGAGTGCACCAGTCTGTCTATCGGATCAGCTGACCTCATATGAATTCGAGCAAAAACAAGACTTCTTGACACGCGAAACAGTGCATTCGCACCCACGGGCGCTGCTCATCACCCACCAGCGCGGCGTATTTCGATTCTCTTGTCACATCCCAAGAGCCATTCTCTTGTCACAACCCAAGTGCCAATGGGCGGAGCTTGCACTAGTGTTCAATGTGATCTACTTAATTCGATGTAAACTCGTGAATCTATAATGAACATTTCATGTATTCAGTCGAACTCATCGATGCGGTTGTCGCCCTTAGCGCCCATGCCTCCTTTCATCGGAACTACGGATTCAGAAGAAATGCCACGCCAGCTCCTGGAAGACCTTCGAGGTCTTCGCTATCTCATAACAAAGATGGGCGAGCAGATCAATCGGATCGATGTGGGTCTATTCATAGACTCGCAGTATTTCAATATAATTAATCATTACATGCTTTAGAATCGACTAGATTCTGAGTTAGCCTATGTCACGAGAGCATTAGAAGAGGAACGAGGAAAGTTTTTGGTGAGCGATCATTCAGGAAATGTCCCAAACTATTGACATGTTTGGCCAGTACTGTTTCTAACAGAATTGATTGAATTCTTTGTAGAGATTGGAAACAACAATGAACGAAACAATTGAATTGCATCAGGCGGAGTTCCAGGTTTGTTTTACAGAAGGCATCTTCAGTGTGGGGTCGAGGACAAGATAAAGAGGCACCTGGCTCACGGTGCGCATTATAAAGGTTGGCGTCGTACAAGGTGTCAATGTACACAGGATTCTCAGGGTAAAACGTGTCTGTGATGTACCTAAATGAGCAGGAGCAGGACCACCTTCGCTGGTCGAACTTGAACCGGCCTACAGCATTTGCGTCAACCTGGTGCAGCTGCGTAGTTTTCAACGTTGAGTCCCTTTGTGGAGGTTTCAGTAGACTATCGTTCTGGTTTTGGAAGACGCCGGCCGCTCAACTGTTTGGGCGACCTGGTTCACGATCAGTTTTTCATGCTGATCCGAGCGCTTTGGTATTTCCAGGCACGTCGGTAGGATGGAATCTGAAGATGCAAAGTTTGGGACTAGGGACCGGTGTGGTGTACAGGAGGGTCTGATTACCCTGTGACTCCGTGTGGATTGAGCGTTAGGGGTACACTTCATGGGCTGGACGTCTTGCTGCCCAGGTTCAAGCAAGAGAGTAGCTGAGGGATGTTCTAGTTGTACTGTTGTGAATTCTACTGTAATATGAAATGTGTTCATCGAATAGTACCTTTTAGGCCTTAAAACAAGAACAGCAAGGTATTGCTAATCGATTGGATTATCAGTACAATGACCGCTTCAAAAGAGTTGAGGAAAGTGTAGAATCGGTTGAGAACCATGTAAGCTGCCGCGTCTGCACCACTTTATAATTTCTGATATGCTTTTTTTGTAAAGGGTTATATGTTAAGGTAGTACGTATGGAGAACTCTATCAAAGATACCCTCGATATACGTCTGTCAGGTCCTGCTTGGGGTAATGCTGTATTCCTCTCCAGTGCCAATATTGTCGTAAGTCTTGCATTTGCCGTAGCAGTACTGATGCACATCTTTGGCACATCCATTTTAGGTTGAGTTTCTCAAGATTGTTCTTTATCTCGTCGCGACAGTTCTTGACCTCTTTTTACCTTTCTTTGGCACAAGGTTTGTTGAATTTCCTATGAGCATTTTTTATGGGAGGCGCTCGTTTGGCGCGATCAAAGTGCCATCCATTGACGTGTCATGACAACGCCTGCTACGTTGGTGAATTCGTCTCAGTCACCAAGCTGCAGTATTTTTCATAATCAGCCCACAGCCGTGAATACAGCTTGTACCTTCTCCTAGGTGGTGCTGCTTCCCAACCAGGGCATCTCTCATGATCAGCTGAGACCATTAGTACGGAAGCAAGTCTCGCGATTGCTTCTTGTGGATAGTGGTTTACAGTTATGTATTAGGTTGGTGCATAACCCCGACTTTTTTGTAAATATCTCAATAGCGAACCAGCCTGAAGATTAGAGGTATGCACCATCACCATCCACTACTCGACGCCAACGCTCAGGCAGCTTGTCGATTCCATCGTTCCCAGAAGGACGGGGGCTGGGACCCGAAGAAGGCCACAATGCCGCACAATCACCACTGTGACATGGTTTTGCACTTGTTGAGATAGCAAAAGAAAAAAAAAACGTCGGAAACACCCTTAGCAGTGCCATTGTGACAATTTCCCGGACTTGCCGGCAAGTAGCTACTATGCAGCCTTTGTGCATCTCCTGGCTCACAAATCAATCGTTTCCTCGCCTCATCCAATACATACAGTCTTGTTCGCTGCAGAAGCGATGGCGTACCAGGGGGCGACTGCCTTTGGCGCGGCGCCAGCCCGTTCTCCACCAGTTAAGGAAACTGGTAGGCGACCACAACTGGTGAAAATTGGCTGCCGCTCCGCCGAACCCGGCCCTTCTAAAGTGCCCCAGCTTCGCAGCGAAAAAGAATGCAATGTCATCCTATCATAGGAAAAAATGGAAAATTGCAAAAATATAAGAAAGTAACATAGAAACGGAAATGACCTGCGAAAACTTCGTATAGCATTACGGTAACTATAGAGACTGTCGAACACCAATGCAGTTCCATTGCAACTGGTCAACTGAAGCAACGCCAACACGCATTCTACCTTGTCAAGTGAATTGCTTTCGACTGCATGTGCTCATTTATTGAAAAAAACCACAGGAAAATAGACCGATTCGAGAGCATGAGCGCTGCCAGCAAAAGCAGCACGATAGCAATCCTACGAAAAGCACATAAAATCGTCATACGATGCTACATGCAACAAAGGCGCGGTATATCACCATTTAGGTCGTTGTCATGTAGGCCGTAATGGCCATGTAGATGCAAATAATTGCAAGCCACGTGTTTCACACGGCTTTATTTTGCACTTTCAAGCGATCTAGCCTTTGCGACTACGGAGCCGGCTACCAACTGCGCGTATTCATTCCATGCATCACTTGATCGTGAGGCGTGCCATTGAAGTTTCGGACCTTTTGTCCAACCGAGGACGGTTTGCCTGGCAGTTAATGACACGTTGGTGGCAGTGTGTCTTGCCATACGGGATACAAAGTTGAATAGATTTTTTGTAAAGTTTCCGTTATAGGAACAAAGCGGGTGTGTTCCTGTGTTGTCTTGTTGCCATCCTCATCATGTGGCAGAACTTCAATGTCTACAATATTATTGTAGATTTATTTGTAAAGAGAAATAGCACGAACATGAGTAAACCTGCTGGACTAGATACCTAGTTGCTCAACTTGAAGGTTCTGAATTAATTCTGCTTTCTGTATTGTACTATAGAATCGTTACTATTTATTGATTTACTTTTATTTCATTATATGTACTTTCACAGCATGTGTCAGTATTTTTTCACTATATGTTGTTCAATTGTTTACGGATTCCACATGACGTTCCTACTTCATTGTTCCTACTTTTTCAGATAAGAATGTAGTTCTTTTGTAGGTGAACAGTAATGCTTATTTAAATGGAGATTTTGGCGTGACTACTTGTACAGAATATTACTAGTTTCATGAGGCGTGTATTAGGTGCGTAATCAGTATTGAGATTGTCTCAGACGTTCTGTAATTTTGCGATTCGAAAAATGGTTGTTGCAATAGGTTAGACAATTTTCTTTCAGTGAAAATTCATTTGTTCACTTTTCAGTCAGTAGTATTGCTTTGCATGTGTCTGTATGTAAACTAGATACCATACTGTCTTTGTGAACCTCATTATTTACTCACTAATTTAAAACGGTAATGTATATTTCTGTGTTGAAGTCTTCAATACTACTTGCCGGTCACCTTGCTTATTGTGATCCATTGTTCAGTTTGCCGTCATATGCGTGTCTTTTATAATGAATCAACAGGGCATCGGCTTTCCTATTCGTGAAAGCCATTTTTCCATAATATGTGTGCTATGTGGTGAAAATCATCGAATAAACTAGCTTCTTTGATGGAATGTTCCAATGTGTCTGAGACCCTATAGAAGAATGGAAGACGCCATCTGAGCTATCAACAGGTCCTGTATTGGGCGGATGGGCGGGTTTATTTGCAGGGGCGGCGCTTGACATGCTCTCCTCATCATTACGGACTGTCGGGGCGGGTCAGTGCGGCTGCGTTTTCCGCGGTGCCAAAGTCTTTCTGCACCAGTTGTTGAAGCGAGCAAATGACATGACAGCATTATATCCTTCGTATTACTCGTTTTCTACCACTTTTTGTCGCATACGCGTTTCAACGAAAAGGCTGAGAACGGCTTCAAACAGTGTGCGCACTCCTACTGGGAGAGTAACTTCTATCGTGTCAAGGTGATAGTGGGCGTGGCGCCCAAGAATGCTTAGTCGCTCTGGCTGAACTCAGTGCATGACTCTCTTCTAAAGACTTATTCCGTGATGTTCATATGAGCAGAGCATGGCACATCATCGCGCTTCTCTTGCTGCGCGTCCATTCAGTTCGCCGTCTCGGGGAAGGGAGATGGTCAAGACAATCGTTATTTGCAATTCCTCGCACGCGGCGTTTTCTTAATTTGCCCAACCTGTCGATTGGAGCACCCACTTCACGGCGACTACAAAATCGTAGAAACTAACAGCGATTCTTGGTTATACTTTGTCCACAATCGCAATTTACGACCTAGAAATATCGTCATCAGCGGACTCGACGTCGCACGCAAAGCCCAGCAGCGTAGCAAATTGTGATTATCTTGTCTCGTATCTGGAAGAGGGGCGCACCAGTGAAGAATGTAAGATGGCTAGCCTAGCTCCGTCCATACGACCTGTCATGAACCCCAGTCGTGATAGTCAGTATGCACCGTACGATCGCATGATACGTAATTGTCGAAATAACAAAGTGTCACCTTTGATTGATCATTGAGACGGCTTACGGTACTCGAACTCAGCTGCTTCAGTTTTGTCAGACAATAAATGCGTAAGTACACTCCTTATCCCTGAGCCAGAGTAGGCGTGGCATTTGAACATGGCACGGAACTGGTTACTCGTGGAATATTCCAGTCTGGGACAACTGTCATCTTGTTCTGTGTTGGACAGAGACACGACAACAATTGTGTCAAGATGAAAATATCTCACCAGAAGCATAGACACCTCCAGGTTAACAGTTGGCACGATAAATCGCTATACAGGTGTAGGATTTGTACAACTGGCTTAACAGAATTCCGTGACCTCGGACAGGCGCTGCGTGAAGCCTTTTCCAAGGAGGGTACCTCTATAACGCCCTATTGAGCAACAACTTTACGTCCCAAACGCCTTCCTTGCCCGCCCGCCCACAAACGGACGACCGTTTCTGACGCTCGTATTCATTCATTTGCTGAGCAAATTATGAAGCAAAGGGATTGGTATGAAGCGGCCGTGATGCTGCATGCATACATGGGTACACATATGCAGCCGTATCTTCGGTAGCGGTGATTGGCAAGATGCCTACGGGAAACTCGTCCGAAATCGATTTTCAAGTCACTGAGAACGGAGGCTTTTTCTTCGCCGGATTTTGACCGTTTCACTCCGTTCTTTCGCCATTTCCCCACTATACAGCGCCCTACTAGCATCTGCCTTTAAGTTGAAGAATGCAGCCACGCCTACCCGATCTCAGGGATTTCGAGTATATATAGGTGGTACAGTCATGATCCCTGCAAAAGATAGGGCGTGTACCAGAGCGCCGTTTTCCACATTTAGTGCCATTTGCACGCTACGATTGACGAGAAAGACCATTCTGGCTGCGTTCCAATTCGCGCTCCTTCGCACGCCCCTCGTTTGCAGAGATCATGACCAAATGTGTAGCGCTCACCTGAGCGATGTACATACGGCCCACTTTTGAAGTATGACTGCAACTTTTGGACGGAGTTGAGAGTTATTTTCTTATTCAGGAGACTGTCTTTTTTGTGACTTCCCAACGGAAAGAAACAAGTTAACAGACGAAAGTAAAATGCAGGACAAGACCGATCTTCTGATAATTTCTACCAGAGGTAGTTTTATCTTCTAGCTATGAATATCCACATCTGTATGGAGCACTCGAGATTCCATCAGAAATTGAGCTGTATTTTCGAAGGCGATATATGCAACAACTTTCCCGAGTCAAAAATAAATAAGCGATCAGAGAGATGTAACAAATTCAAACAGCAGTAGCAGCAGGTGGATGAGCTCCTCTGTCGAAAACTTCTTCATCGTCTTCATCTGAGTTAGCTGTGAAGTTTGGATTGGGAAATGATATACTCACTTCGGCAGTACCCGCAGGAAGAGCTCCTTGTTGGACAAGAGCTGGTGTCTAAAAAGCACTTCAATATCATGCACATACACGTCCGATTATTAGGTTCACAGATAATATCTGGGATACGTTGGAGATTGAGGTCCAGGAATTTATTAGGTTGACTTCTTAGCCCAACACTACAGATTAATTATCCATACTAAGAAGTCCATATTCCAACACTATAACTCCCAGAGTTAGGACTTAGGATGGCCAGAGTTTACGGTGTTCTACCTCTTCTTCATACTCTGGCCTCTCACCTTGAAGTCTGAAATTTTCTGCGCTCTCCTCCATTCCCATTGTGGATCGGACTGGAGACCTATGTGGTAATAGGTGAAGAGAAAATAGGTGTTTCACGTCAAATACTGAGTGAATCGCTCAAGCCAGAAAAGAATAGAGCCTCAACGCCTTGGTCAAATCAGTCGTTCATTAGGACCTGCTGCGGCTCCACTATCAATGCTTTGGTTAACTGCGAGCAGCTAGGCTGAGTAGCAGCTAGGTTGAATGGGATATCGAGGGAACTCCTCTTCTCACACTACAATACGCTCGCACACATCGCCAAGTTGACTGACGTGAAGCTGTGCATTCTCGATTGCATTGTACTTGACCATCCCCAGTACAGCTCCGCCACTCACACCTCTTTCGGCTGTGGCCTTCCACCCAGAACAGCGGGGCGGCACTCCCTCAATGAAGATGACCACAAATGAATATGACGCCGGTTTTCGTTCTTTGATAGGGAGTTCCCAGATTCCCAGGACGATGGAACCTGGAAATTTCTCGGAGGTTCGCAGTATGTTTTCTATATCGATGGGCTGCACATTAATGGCTGGAAACTAAGCACAAGGGAACACACACTTTTGTAAATGACATTTGAAAGTGTCCCAGTAAGACTGACCAGCCCAGTAGGAAAGAGCATGACTCGACGATGGGTTGAAACAAAGACTAAGGTTCTGGTTTTACACTTACAGGATCACCAGGAAGTCGTGCAGGCCTTCTGTTCTTTTTCTGGGCGAGAAAATCGAAATACATGTATGTCGACAATCCGACATTCAGGAACCAGGCGGCAAGACCAGTGAAAAACGAGACGATTAGGAGAATCGCAAAAACTGAAGCATAGTACTATGTGAACGATCGATATAAGTATTTGGTTATATTCATATATTATTAGTAGTAGTATTGGTTATATTTATATATTTATTTATATATGTTTGATTTGGTGCTTACGATCGAAGCAAAATGGATCCAGATGGAGTTAGCTGAAGGGTTATTCATCCCACTTCCCACTGTCATCCTTCTCCAAGCTGGAACAACTTGAATACTGTTCCAGCTGGGGGGGGGGGACCGAGTAGAGCCTATGTATGATTCGAGCAATACTGGGAGCAAGCTCAACCTCGAGTCCTTTTTTGCGGAAGCTTCCCCTACCACAGTTGAGCGTTAGGTAATGGCATGCAATGCATACAGGGGGCCAAAAAAGACACTTTTCTTCCTTGACTTTCAAGGCGCTATAAGTTACACTTTATTAAATTCTGATTGGACATTTCCACCACCATATTCAAGAGCATATTGTATACTATCATGATACTCCGCCACAGCCTTCTGGACGAGCGCCATCGAGAGATTCTGCCACGCGACCGTGATTCGGTACCTGAGTTCAGCGAGATCGTTGATTTCTCCGCCACTGTAGACCACCCTGTTGAGCTCCGCCCGAACCGGGTAATTGAGGGGGTTTAGGTCAGGTGACACACTTAGATATTCCGTCTTCTTCAGGTACTCAACGCCCTTCCATTCCAAGTAGGCGAGAGTTTTTCCAACGCCCTTCGATTCCATGTGGTGGCACCCAATCCTGTAGCAGTACAAAGTTTCCAAGAAGGTACGGGCGACGACATGTGGGAGGATATTCTTCTCGAGTTGCTCGATGTAACCGCCAGCGCTCACCTTCAGTCCGGGTCCACGAAGAAAATATCGGTCTTCCCTTTCAGGTACGTCCGGTCCATACCATCAACTCGCGCCTTGGCGACTACGGTGAAGATGATGTCCTAGACCGTAGCGACGTTGTCGGAGCTGCTCGATGTTGGAGGTCTTCCAGATCGAGAGTACTGGTCTCCAGGTAGCTATCCATACTAGAAGTTTCGCAGCTGTTTGGAGGTGACGTGAATTCCAAAGGTCTTCTCCAGTCAGGCTGCGACTGGAGATGACTTCATATTTTGGTGTACATGAAGGTGATGGGCGAGAGCCAGCTCCTGCTTATCGAGGAACATCTTGGGTATCTTCCGCCCTGGTACCCCTTCCTCTGTCTGGGCTGCAAAAATTTTGCTGATATGAGACTCGACCGAAGTGTCTTTTTTTGGCCCCTCCTTGTATTGTCTCTTGTTATTAGCAATGTGTGGGAGGCACTTATGCTACTTGAAGTTCTACAGCTCGAGTGCGGTAGAAACGGCGAGAGTTCCCTGGTTATCGTAGAGCGCTCATCCCGGTTCTTCAAAAATGGATCTTTTGTGGAAATCCAGCGGATCTCACAACTTTCCTCCCGCAAATTCCCGTCTCATGAGCCAATGGTGTGCACGTTATTCCGAGGTCGAATCGCTGACCGTTAGGCCGAAATATGGATGGAGATGCTCGCCATGTCTCCGTCCATATAAACAGCATGAACAATTTTTTTTGTTCAAGAAAGTGTTTTTTTGTTTGCCTCCCTAATTGGTGCGCCCCTCCCTGCGTGACCGTAAAGAGGGCGGACAGCCGATGAGGTACAAATACTGTTTATCCGCCCATTAGTTCATCAAAGTCATGGGCGCGGACTGCTCATTCCACGCAGTGGGGGAACGATGTTTCTCCTTGCTTTTTGTAAACAAGAAGGCAGAGAAAAAGAAATGCTCACTTTTCTTCTCCCTCTGTAGCAATGTGTAACGACCATCAACAAACAACTGCTCCGCTGTTGCAGAATAAGGAGCTATTATACAAAACAAAAGTTGAAGTACCAGTATTAGCATCATTGTAACGACAACAAACTGAAAATGGGATGCTCTACTCATCTAGAGCTCAGAGCGAAAAAGAAATGACAAAAGTAAAAGGAGGACCGATGAGATGGTTATTAAGGAGTATCGTTTGATCAAGTTGGATTCTGCGAAACAACCTAGCTCCTCGAGTACATCGAACCTTAAGGGGAAATCCATGCTGGCTGGAGTCAGGCCTGCCCTTGCACCCTCCTCATTAGTTCACCCTTATTGTCCATGACGGTAAGCAGGAGAAATGCGCCAATGAGGAATCCGCATTGGCAGGACTGAAATCGCCCATACGATCAACTTGGACTTTGCCTAGAAGTAATTTCGTGCATTCCCTTTCAGAATTTGTCTTTTGGTCGGTTCTTTTGAAGATAAAAAGGCTTTTGAATCCATACTTGCGGCTACTCAATGGCCCACAGAAAGTGGCTGATGTTCCAATTGACCTTAAGCTTTCCCAAGAAGTTGGGTGAAGCGGTTTGGGTAGAAGGAAGCCTGGTTGGTCCAGTTGCGCAGAGCGTGTCACGACGGGATAGGCGATGAAAACAAAACCTTGAAGAAATGGCAGTAAACTCACTAGCCGACAGGGACGACAGGGATGTAAAGTATGTCGCTAGTACCGTCAGAAGTTCTTTTTTTTGAATGAGGACGGATAAAGTTGCAGTTCATATGCTGGAGATGGTGAGACCTCGCCCAAGGCTTAATCCTGAGCATAGAGGGGCTAGATAGCAGTCGGTTTAGTCAGAGGCGCTCGAAGACATAAGAGAGAACGAATTGTACAACAGATCATCAAAATGCCTATCAGCGTCTATGAATGAGCAGGCAACTAAGCAAAGACACATAACTACTGCCGCGCCTACTACTGTGAACGTCGGCAAGCTCTCTCCATGTGTGGGATACGGAGGTTAATCTAAAGCTGTTAACTTACCATTTCGCCGATATACGGCAATAAGGAAGACTGTGCTTTCATATACTAAAGCCAGAATCATTGACACAGTCACAATATACTCCCAGATCTAGAAAATTACTTAGAAATCGCATAATTCGACTATTTATGAATTCCTTCTAATACAATCATAAATGAATTATTTCCACAAAAAATCCTACTTCTAGTGCATAGGCGAGAAACGTCGACCCTTCAGGTAAACCGTTCATAAAATATGCTATTGTCTCCAGAACCTCGGCAATGACTGTCAACGCTATGATGAGAAGAAATGCCATCTGAAAAGGCTTTTAAGAAAAGAAGAATAACTAGTGAGCACAGTAAGTAGAAGCTGACACGAAGCATAGGTTTATGCAGCTGTGCCACCAAAGAATAACGACGCAACGCCTGTCACCATTCCTAAGATTGCCGCTGGCACTGGACGGGTCCCTACAGGTGGCGTTTCAACTTATGGCACATAGTCTCTCGCTGTCAAGCGGGCGATTTCTAAGATTGCGGACCGGAGGATGGACAAGAAAAGGAGTCGGTGAGCGAGGAGCGTGTCTCCAACTCTTTTTCCAAACTTATCGTCTGGGCGGAGTTCGACTATTGAACATCCACGCTGTCTCAGTCATCTTGAAAGGAAGTATCGAGGAAGTGACAAGGGTGCTCCGGTCCATATACATCCACTTATGTGAAAGCAGCGTAGAATACTTCTGGACATGATACTCGACGAACATCACAGGCAGGGCTGACTATAGGGGGGAAGGGAAGAAAGGAGCTTAGAACTTCTGACCACATGAAAATCGCGCCGAGTCAAAATGTGCGGCGGTTTTTAGGTATCGGGACAAGGTATTTCGCTTCATTTCGACAACGTAAGGAATGGTTGGGCCGTGCTATGGACGCAAGTAATGCCACTTACTGCGCGCACGATCAGAGGGTCAGGCCCCAAGTCGGCTCCTGCCGAGGCTAACAAGGTTCTCCAATTTTATGGTGCACGCATAGGACTAGATCTGCTTAATAGACAAAACTGTATCAAAAAACTACAATCTTCGCAATGAAGTATTGAATATATCGGAGAGCAAAAAGACGGCGAAGGAGTTCATTCCAGAGCTGACAGAGCTCTCTTATGCCTACCTGCCTCTCCTTTCCATGAATCCTTTGAATCTCTGCCGCTCTCGCAGCAACGCCTCTTGTTGCTCTCTGATATGGACTGTGGCATGCGCGGCACATCTCGGAAAGGAACCGGTCAGTGCAGAAAGCTTCGAACTCTTTCTGGTGAGATGTTCAGAGTGAATAAAAAAAGCAGTAGTAGTCGTCACAAACTTATATAATGAAGATTGTACTCAGGGTAAAATATATTCGGAAAAAGAGATACAATAACATTCGCAGTTAACGGTAATATTGCCATAACACTAACCTTTACGTGCAGTTTGCCGCAACATGTGAAAAATCGTCTTTGACTCGTGTTCAATTTAAATATATTCGGCATTTTGTAATCCCTCAAAACATAGAGTACCCTGAAACGACAAGCCGTTCAACATAATTCGAATATATGCAGATCTATTCAGACATTCATGGTCGCGATAACTACAAGTCGCTCCTAAATATTCGAATTTATAAATAATTGCAGCGAAGCCTAACACTGAGTAAATGGGCAATAATTCCACTGGAAATGTTGAATTAAAGGTATTGTAGACTATCTCTAGAGTGGGCTATTGTTTTCATAGTAAACACCAGCCAATCGATAATTAGGGTTAGTGATATGGAAGCTGTCGGTGTCCAGCTCTTATCGGTCTGAACACCGACAAGGAACACATAGGTAGACATGCAGAGAAATCGGTTAGCCTACAATAATCGTCTGTTCTGAGGGCCTGCAGGGTCCGGCTAACCCATAATTTAGGCTCTTAGGCTAAACCATGCCTGTGACGTTCACTCCAAACTAGGCAAGTGCTCAAATGGGCATTAGAAGTAACGAAATGAAGAGCTCACACATCAGCGCCATAAACGGCCTTATAGCCTCTGTCACTTCTCTTATCTCCCTTTTTTCCCTCAAGAGACAAGAGTCGGGTAATAAATGCCAATTGTGTTACATCTAGAAGTGAACAAGGGACTGCATATGCAGTATGGATTTCTTTGTTAACAAATGGCTGACTGTGGCCCGGTAGAAACGTTATAGGTGCAGTTAGGCTAGGAAGGGGCGATTGGTATTCGCTCAGCTAGTCCAACTTGCTTATCAGTTTACACTTTGGTGAGACCTGTAAGCTGCTGTAAACGTACGAGTTGGCACAAGTGTGTAACTTTGATTACAGAAACTTACAGAACGCCTAAGCTAGCTTTGCTAGGATAATTGATTTCGCGCTTGATGAGGTACGAGTATGTCGACAATCCCAGCTCTCTCCAGTCCTACATTCCACCCAACATTGTTACTTGCTGGTGATGAATACCTTTTGGCCGACAACGGACGTTTTTTATTCTGATGTTTCCTGCTGCGACAGCAAATTTTTCAGGTGAATTCTCATTACTGGCCTCCAAACTCAACAACAGCACTCAACCCTTGTTCGCTGAGCGTGGTGAGGCGTGTCAGGAAGCTAGGTCTGGCGCGGCTCTAATCCGTCCTCCACCAACTGTTGAAGAGGGTAAGCGAAAAAAGTTGAATAGAAAACGAGTTGGAGCCGGTCAAACCCAACCACCTGACACGCTCGACACCCACCACGATGAACCACATTGTAGCAACAGTGCAAGTATTTTAACAAGAGAGAAATCGGAGATCTTCAGACAACCGATACAGAATATTTTTATATACCCTTTTTTGATTTTTCTGGTAGCGGAACTGTCTGGGAACTTCAAACTGCTTGGATCAAGAGAATCTACCAAAGAACCATTTGGTTCAAAGCCACACTAGAGATCCCACACTTTATGTTATGATTCTTGCTTGCTTACCTCTTGATTTCACCTTTCATTAAACGGCATCCACGCTTTTTGGTTTAAATTGCTTGAAGTGTTGAGTTACTGCTGTTTAGTTGTTCAGTTTCTTCACCCCATGGTCTCATTCCTATATCAGAAATAATATGCAGTTCAGGTTGGAACGGGCATTCCGCCCTTTCGCTCATTTCTTTTGTTAGTTTCTGTTGTTTTACGCGTCTCATTTCGTGAGACGTGACTTGTAGACTGTTGTCAAGTGTAAACGAAACTCCTGCTATTGCATACTTTTACAGAAGTTTCCGGGCTTCTACCGGGGGCATCAGCTGTGGAAGATAAAAAAGTGCTCCCTGTGTTATCTCTTTCAGAAGCCAAGCCGAGCTGCACCAATCTTTACTGCAGATTATTGAACAGCTGCTTATTTCACATGCAGGAAGAGGGTCATTCAAGCAGCTAAAAAAGTTCATACTCGAACTCCTGTATATGCTCTAACTCTTGCATACAAAGGCATCCGATCCGAACCGTTTTGCAACGCATGGCAATGTGGAAATCATAGATAGATAGTTAAAGAGAGATGACTAGTTTTTTTTTGTGAGAAGAAGACGCTAAACGAAAACATACTGCAGGGGGAATATTCAAGCGAGTTTGCTGGATCTTTCGAACTTTTGGGCTGAAAATTCTGTAGCCTTGCATTGTTATTACACGTAAGGAATTAACTATTTTTGTTGATTTTACTGCTGAATGGATGTTGGATCATTGCTTTGGAAACATTTCTTGAAACCGTTGAAATGGGATTTACAGCTTTGCGTTCCTGGTGGACTTACGCTTTGGCGCAGTATCAGCTCGTTCCCTTCCACTTGTTGCCACTTTTGTGGCTGGCAGCCATTGATGGTAGTAGGCTGCGTCAAACGTATGTAAGTAGTACGCTTTCATCCAAACCTGTGATAAGAATTGTATATCCTTATTTGTTGACTCCATGTAACCTCTTTCCTATTGGTCTTGTTGCTAGGAGACCTAAGCGATAGTCTTGCGGCAGTTCGAACAAAAGAAGAAAGTCGCCAAGCAAGGCTCTCAATGAACCTCACCATAGTTGTAGTACTGTGGGAATTCTTCTGTGGAAACCCTTTATATATATATACCACTGGAGGAAAGTGGAAAGTGAGCCTTTGTCAGATATTTGGTCCCCGACTACTGTGGAGACCTCTTCGAGGTTCCAGTAGATGGCCATATACGAGCGTCATTTATGTCACTGAAACTGAAAATAGTTCACAATCTGAAAGGGATGGGCTCTTCTTCTAGCCCAATAGTTCGATTCTCTCGTTTTGAAATCAAACTATAGGACAATTTCAGTCCGAATAACATAAAACGTGAACATAGACATCTAGTGATCCATGAGTTTCATCAGTAAACGGCTGAAGAGCCATGGAACTCGTAAACTGAAGAGCCATGGAACTCGTAACTAAATAAGCGTTTGTCGATAAGAGCTGTTATGTCGGTTGTTTAGCCCACCACTCATCTGGCACATTTATCCCCTCATACACATTCGAAGACGTCTCCATTATGTAGTGGTGCAAATTCGACACAACTAATCCTATATTCGGCTTTGGCTTGAGAGGGTTCGACGAGGGGTGACGAGGGGATAAGTTACAATTTACCCCGATTCTATTAGGCATACTGTCGTCTGGCAATCAGGATACAATGGGGAATTGATGGTCAAGGGATTCATCTCATTCAATTTCATCGATGAATACGACCAATTGAGCCGTTTCATATCGCATTATTATTCTGATGTCGACTAAAGTTGTTCTGCACGAACATTCTTGGAACTACTCGGTCAGATCGAATGCATAAGATCTGCAAGTCAGCTTTGCAGCATTCAGTGAATGTCCGAACAAAGGAACTGAACTTGCAATTAAGTGGATAAACGTCCACAGCTAATTGGTTTGTCTCAAAGAAGGGATGCTTAAGGTGAATCTAGAAGAGCCCTGCTTTGATTTTATTTATTTCACATACACTTGTAGTGCTCATCTTCCCAGTTGTTAAGAAGTTCCGATGCCTCATCAGGATTCAAAGGATTATAACATGGAGAAAAAAAAGCGTTTAGTGCAGATCATCTCCGAAGAAAAAGTTTCGCAGTTTTGTCTGGCATGCTGCTTTATTTTCCTCAGCAGCATGCCAGACCTGGGTCAGCTGTCACGGCCTAGCTATCCTTACGTGAACCAATCTTGGATAATTACTACCTACTCTAAACTGCTTAGCAATAAAGTTTGGTGCCTCTTCATGTTTTACATATGGTTTCCCTTATTAACAAAATAAGACAAGTGCGGTATCGTCACCGCATGGTGCAGATTTCCCTACCTACAAATAAATCTCCTCGCTCAGAGCATCATAAAAAGGTCGCAGAAATGTCCCTAGAGAAGGAATGGTAGTCCTCTCTTCTATGTTTCCAAAAATCGGCACCTAAAAATCGGATCGCAATCAGCTCTGCGAAACTGACGAATCACGTATGTGATACCTATACTCGAAAGCCCTGAGATCGGGTAGGCGTGGCTGCGAGCTTCAACTGAACCTGAAGGTGCTGTGCTTCTGGTGAGATATTTTCATCTTGACACAACTGTTGTCGTGTCTCTGTTCAACAAAGAACAAGATGACAGTTGTCCCAGACTGACGTATTCCACGAGTAACCATTTCCGTGCCATGTTCAAATGCCACGCCTACTCTGGCTCAGGGATAAGGAGTATACTTAAAGGCAGTTGGCAAGCAAAAATTCAGGCAAAAATTCAGGCAAAAAGCGCAGGCAAAAATTCTCAAGACGAGTGATTAATACACCTGGCAAGAAGTGAATTTCGTGACCCTGAGCAGGAGCTGCGAAGCGCATTTTCTAAGGAAGGTACCCTTATAAGGCCCTGAGCTACAACATACCGACCCGAACGCCCACCGCGCCCGCCCGCCCACAAATGGACGACTGTACCTGATGCTCGTATTGCTTCATTTGCTAGTAAAATATGAAGCGAAGGGATTGATATGAAACGTCTGCAGTCTGCGTAGATATATGAGTGCACACGTGCAGCCGTATTTACCGTAGCGGTTATTGGCACGATGCCTACGGGAAACTCGTCCAAAATTGTTCTTCATGGGAAACGAGCTTTTCTTCGCAGCTTTTTGACCTGTTTCACGTCGTTTTTTCGCCATTTCCCCCACTATATAGTGCCCCGCTAACATTTCAGGCCGAGTACCAAATTATCGTGCTAACTGCCCTTCATGTTCACTTATAGTTTTGATTGGAATATGGGAAAGGGACCGTCCCGCAGTTTCAACCTACACGCTGAATGGATTCGAAAAACAAGAGCCCGTATCGTTCTGATGTTTGAATAGGGCTTGTCTGCGAGAAAACGTAAATAATGTATTATATATTCAAATTATAAGGTTAACATAGGTGGATGACGGTATGAAACCTGTGAAACATTGCAGCCAGCGTTCAGGATTCCAGCTTGACAACAGTTCATATAACGGTCCTGTGAAATATCCATAGTATCCGTTGGAGAGCCAAGAGGCTTCTGACTGAAGGTA